CAAACATTCCAGTAATTAAAATTACTTGCCCTAAATCAGTATGCAATTTTCATATAAATTTATTTATGGTTGTGAAAATGGCGTGTTCTTGTAAATTTGGGAATATATATATGCAAGTATGTATCATATTATGTGCAGAAGGTTACAATATCATGATCACTGACCTGATCGGGGATGATGCTGGGGTTTTCCACTAGAAGGCTGTCACTCGTCAGGACGTAGTTAAGACACTGTGTTCAGCCACCGAGGCATCTCTGGGTGATGGTTCCAACCTTTTTGGATGGCCACGACTGTTGAGGAGTTCGTTAAAGCTTGCAGTTAAATGATATACCCCGTGTTTACCTAGTGTTTTCACTTCAACCGAACGGGTGTTGTGCCCTTTCATGACTGGTGAAGTTTCTTACCCTGCTCGAGCGGTTGCTTCTAGAGTTTTATTCAGCCTCGTTTTATGTTCAGGATTGCTTCCCTGGGGCCTTTATATGACCTCTGGCAGTCATTTCATGTAATTCAAAGTAGAATATCCCAATAGCGATTCCGGCAATTGGCCCACTTCTTGTTCTAGTGCCACTCAAGCTATGCGGTTTGGGTTCATGCGAAATGCCGCTGCACCTTCCTCTTGGTGAACTGGAGACTTGTTGATTAGTGAAGCTCGGTATGTAAGGCACTTCAAATAGGCCAAGTTTCAGTGATGGATGTAATTTCGAAGCTGAAGTAAGTGCAGGGGGGTCTTATCGCGTATTTGTTACTTCCCAGCACCCCAACATTGCTGTAAATGAGCTTCGGGAGGTTCTGAACTCTGAATGGGTTATCAGCTGGGTATTCTTTGCGAAAATCCGCACGTGAAAGTTTGAGACAGCGACTGCTGTCCCGGTAAGGGCATAGTTTTGGACAGTAACTAGAGTCTTAAATAGTCGCGGCTATGACGCATGGGAGAATGTGTTCGCTGAGATGTTGTCTTGCAATGATGACATACGGCAACCTCCTCCGTGATGGTCTACTCTCAGTTTGTCCAACAGACAAGGACTTGCTTTTACAATGCTTGGCCACTTCTACTACTTCTCTTTACTGTCATACTACTTTGTGCGTTGTTTTTCGAGTGCTGCACGTGAGTCAAGATAGAAGGTCAGAAATCTTAGAGTCAGGATGCTCTAAAAAGGAAATAGTTGGTGCAGTCTTGCAATACTGTAGGTAGGTAGAGTTTTGAGCACAGTATCTGTCGCCAAGTGCCTACTCTACTCTTCATCGAGAAGGTAGCGTCCATCGTACGTGTGCTTTTCTACCACCTGTGGTACACCACGCAGAACCATGGAGTAGGTTACATTCTGATCATCAAATGAATTACTTCTCTGCTTTTCTCCGATGCACCATGGTTTACCAGGCACTGACGAGACATTATACATGATAAGCATATGTGAACGGCCTCAGAGGAAGATCTCACCTTAATGTTGTTCCTGGTTGTCGGACGATCGATACAGAAAGGACATTTGGCGTCCGAAGAGATGCGGTGTAGGATTTTTCTGCCGTTGAAATATGCCACCGAAGAATCGATAGGCAGATGTTCAGCAAATAGGTGCACTGTCGATGGTGAGATATCCTTACGGACAGGTTTATCCGGGAATTTTTGGGACGGGTAAGCCGAATATACTGTTATGGGCTCTTGTTGTACAGTGTACCACATTGCACACCGTATTCTGAGCAAGAAGTTTGATTCCACCATCTGACTGACTTTAAGGAAAACCATCAGATCATTAACTGACTCCAAATTTTATATATAATTAATAAAACCAGCTTCTTCGCCTTTGTTATGAATACTCTGGTTTTTTCTATTTCTGACATTATCGCATGGCGTCATCGCCTGTGATAAAAATATGTTTTATGGCTGATTCATACTCACTGAAATGTTTCCCTTAAATAGGCATTACTATCAATTGAGAACCTTAGCAATGCTTTCTGATGCGTCATAGTACTTATGCGTGAATGTAAAAGGATTCATAACATTCAGGAATAGATTATTACTAATGCCCTGCCTGTCCGATTCCCTGCTTGCTATTGCTTTGCTGTTTATATTACAAAGAATCAGCTACCACTTTTGCCTGGTTCTGACATCGTGGGCATGGTAGCTTGTACCTACCTGTATTCAAAAACGGAGTTTAACGAATAAGGCGCAAACATTCTTGTCAGAAAGCAGCCCACACTCAGGCAGCTAGTTGTCCGTTGGATGTGCACATATCTACTTCCTGAGGCTCAAAGCCTGATATAATTGAAGGCAAGGTTTTTTCTGCTCTTTTTTACACAAGTATTCACCCTTGCAGGATACTTTACCTTAACAGGGTTTCGTGACTCATAGGCGCTGGCAGGCTCAGAATGATGAACAAACTCTTAAACCGATCCCTGTTGTTTCTCATGATCATCTGAAACCGATTGCACTCCTCTTGAGTTCTCCTTGACTTCTCATAACTCAAATTGCTGTTATAGATTCAGCATTTGTTTCTTGTCAGTCTTGTAAATTTCATATTTTAAACTCTTATCTATCTTTCATTTGAACCAATACTGAGAAGACGGCTTACCAGTAGATTGTTGACATGAAAATGAATCAATGGGGACTTACCAGGTTGCTGCAGGAGTGTCTCTGTCGTTAGAGTTCTTTTTATTTAACACACAATTCATGGTAAACTTTCTGTGACCGATGGCAGCAGTTCTCTAATAACTTTTCAATCGTTTAGTACTTAATTAGACAAGGTGAGAGTATTCTGGTAAGAACGCAGTTTATATCTCAGAATAAATTTCCATTCAACCTTTCTTGACAAGTGCGTTCAATCTGTATAGTTCGCTTTGTTTGCAGGAGTTACGCCCAGTCTGAATATATACCCAAGATCTAGAAAACCTGAGTAGTGCGTTCACATCTGTGATATGGTTTGGTTGTAAAACGATACATAACTAAAAGGTACCTCAACGATGACGCTGCTTGCCCAATACATTAAAGAAAGGCTTCCTTGATAAAAAAAAATAATAATCAAATGGTCAAAAAGCTTAAGACTAGAGTCATATTCTTGTCAAAATGGAAACATTCACAACCAAAAAGACAAGATATCTATTTCCAAGTCACATCAAAACCACGATAATAGCTGTCTCTCTGTGCACAGCAAAACAAAACTACGGTTAGACGGCAAATTAAAGAGAATCATAACGAATTACAGGAGTGGAACAAACGAACATACCAAAAAGTAAAAGTGATGTAAATACTCCTGTGACGCTGACGAACAACCAGTGCAAGAAACCAATGCTGTAAGAGTATGTCCACATAAAAAGGAAAATTAGAACAGTAAAGGTTACATATATCTGCAAAGTCGTATGGAACGGATTTCCCTATTGCATTCTTCAACATTACTTTCTCCTCGCTCTAATCTGTTATACTTTTTGGCATTCACATCGATAAGAGTCTATATGGGACTTTTAATCCTACCAGTAACCCTGTGGCTTCTTAATATACTCGACCAATAAATGTAAAGGACAAATGTCACATCAAGTAGTCCTTTCCTGAGTTCTAACTACAGGTTATTGGCTAAATTTATCTCCCTCTAAGGAGTACAACGGCAAAAAAGTACTAAGCCGCTAGAATAAGATACAAGAGTTCAGAAAATACTCGTCTTGTTTAATCATTTAATCATTCTGATCTTGGCTCAAGGTATTTTCACAATCAGAGGGGTGTTTAGGCAAACCTCGAGGAAACTAGGTGAAGGTTACTCATCAGAGAGTGATAACTTGTGTGTATGTACCCTTTTCTCTTCGTGTTTACATCTCCTATAAAGCTCTGATGGCTAATATAGCTACCTCTTCATAAGTCAATAGCTTATGAAAGATGCTAGATTACCATGTAATGTTTTGTGAACTGTGTTCTTCCGATAGTGAAATTAAACCGGGACTGAAACTTTCACTTTCTGTAAATATTTGATGCATTTATTCCGTAATTGTTTTCTGTCTTCTTGCTCGTCATTTTCGCTATCCTTTTCCTTTTTCCATCTTTCCCCTCTTTCCAACCAGTCTAAATGACCATCTGAAAACATATCACGCCCGTTTTTGGCAATGTGACTGTCTTGGTTCACACTCTTCACTTCTCTTCAAAACAAACCAACAATCAGCATCCTGCAATGTTTAAACTGACTACAGCAGGTTAGTAGAAAAATAAACTGCAAGGAAATTCACCCAAGACCTGGGACAAAACCCCCAACATCTCACAGAAAAAGTAAAAAATTTACCAGTTTATACTTGCTCATTGTAAAGGTATTTGATATTGGTATCTAGAGGATTTTTTAGAAACTTAAAAGAAACTAAGCATCATACAATTTTTAATTCTCCTGCTGAACTTTGTTTTTTTCTGACTTTCATAAGCCCAAGGCTTTATTTCGATTACCTTGTAGATAGCATACGTTAAACGATGTTACTTGCTGCTACTCAATTCAGTCAGCAATTCATTAGTCTCGGAAACTGTGGACTGAACTCCTCAAGAAAAGTTGCAATAGCTAGCTTTTTGTACCGTACTGGCAATGTTTTCTGCCATACTTCTGGCTCATCGAACGAAAGTGATCCTGGAAATTTCGTGAACAATTGGGTAAACCCAACCAGGAGGATACTGAAAGCAGTAACATCAAAAAATAGCTTATTGTCATCATTTGTTGTGAGAAGAACATTCAAAGGGTACATCAACAACCAGTTTTCTTTTATGACGGTTGGGTGACCGATTTTGTTATAAAGTGTACAACTCATACACTTTCTCTTAAAATTTTGAAAATAATCAATCTGATCTAAGACACTGTCACGGTCATGGTTAAACAACAGAAGAAAAACTAGTTATTTCAAACGCTTTCATTGAATAAAAATTCTTATCGGATACTATTGTGGATGCGATCCAAATAAAGGTACCTTCATAAGATTTTCTTCTACTATCCTATACTAATTCAGTAAATACCTTCGAAAAGGGATTTCATTAGGAAGGAGAAAAGGGATATGTAGTTTTTCGTTTTATTTCATGAGATGAATGAACAAATCGTAATCATGATAATCTATGTCAGAGGATAAAAAGATCAAGTTAAAAGATGACAGAATCTATGAAATATATGCTGAATTACATATCTCTGATTTGATAAACAGATAGAAATACCTCAGAAAATGTTATTGTGCGTCACAAGTTTGTTTAATGCCTCCTGTTTCTTGGATTTCTCCATTATTGAACATTTCTGGCAGATTATGAGAATATTCACTGATATTATTCAAATCTAAAAGAAGAAAATTTGTGGTTAAAGATTTTTACGTATGTCTGAGACGAATTGACCGCCAGGTTTCAATACATATTTCTATCAAGACCTGGGGGATGACCGAAATTTATTGAGCGTGTCGACCGTTTGGCTATGAAGTCAAGAGAGATGACTTTTCAGTTCAGCATGTTTGTTTAGAGTTGGTCTGTAAGAATCCATTTACCTAGGCTCTGCGGTTGTTTGTCATCGTCAGCAGGGCGTAAGAGCAAACTTTAAGAAACTTTTGTCGCTTTGGATATCCAAAACATCAACACTCAACTAAGTTTTGTAGACATATGCTGAGAGTGACCTTAATGTCTTAAAAACGTAACCATAACTTATAATTTATATGTTCATTTCATGTGTAACTTTTTCTGCATACATCTACTCTGTTTAACTGCTATCAGCTGGTTCACTTAATTGCAAAATGACTGCTAATAGGGCTCACAAGCAACTTTACTTGTGACGAAACATGAATGTTCAGGTTTTTCTGTATACGAGATCTAGCTAGGATAAACAAATCTTAAGACTGCTCCTGTGTCTTAGTGGATAACGATATGGCATTTAAAGCAATGTGTACTTGGTTCGTGTCTCAGCGGGAACAACAATACTCACTGGGGTGCAAATACATCCAACTAGCAAGTCGCAAACAAGACGAAATTCGCGTCCTGGATTCCACTGCTAGCCACCAAGATAGGTGTAAGATAACAAACAACTTTTCAATTGTTTGTTTTTCAAAATTAGACTCTGTGATACCATTTCGTCGAAAAATACAGCTTTCAAATTCATCCTAGCTAGTTTTCAATCAAAGCGTATTCAACCATCTATATTATATGAGAAAAATTTATGCATCAAACTCGGTTCGATGCTCAATCCTTTGTACAACGCTTAAGGTTTCAAATAGTCCTCTAGCTGATACAAAACAATGCTGAAAATGATCTTGGATTCCTTAAAAACATGACTGTTATTGCATATCACTCCAGTCCTACTATCGAAAATTGGAGATCACTGGTTATCAGAAGTAGAAGCGATCAAAAGTTATTATTTCGTATCAAAGACTAACTTTAAAAGTTAGTCAAACATTCTAAAATTAAAACATTACAAAAAAAATCAAAGGCTTTAAGTATACCGACTGAGGACCTTTTAACTTATACCAGCTTGAAGTTGTAAGAAGTGAAATTAGGTAACGTCTAATCATAAATATTATCTAGTGTTTACCGTGTATATTAATTAGTTGGAAAATTGCTGAAAATCTGGAAGTACTGAAGGCCATTCCATCATAGTTTGCAACTTCTCCTCAGGGCACATCCATGTTAAATGAGGGACTTAGATCAAAGTACTAGTTCCTACAGTGAGCATGCTACCGATTGTTCACAGGGTGCTGAATCAATGGTCTACATTTTAATGACTCCTGTCAATTTCCAGCTAACTGTTTCGGTTATCTAATGTCATCGATAGATACAAATTTTCACATCCAACTTGTTAGATTATCCAAAGCAAGACATCGTGTTAGAACTTTTGAAATATATCACAAAATTAGTCACTAATGGTCTTTGAATTTTGATTCAGTTAGGATTAAATGGTTGCCCAGTGTCTCAGTGTTTTCAGTTAGTTTTTTTCAAATAACATTACTCTGCGATGGAGACTTTCTTGAAATCCATCATACAGCCCACCTAAGTGAACTCTCATCTAACTGCCAACTTCGAACTTTATAAGCGATATCTAGATGACGTCTTCCTCATCATCTCCAATAATAGGGATAACCTGAAGATATCCTGTCACAATTTAGTAACTGCCACTCTTCAATCAGGTTCACATTAGAGAAGGAACTCAATTCTAAGACATCCTTTTTAAATGTGCAGCTAAAAAACGAGATGATGGATTACTTGGAAGGTCTATCCACAGAAAACCCATATGGAGCGGACAACTTAAGAATTTTTGTGGTTGGGTGTCTCTATGCACCAAACGAAATCTAATCCGCTCTATGTGCACAGGATCCACACTATCTGAAACCTTCATGCTTTAGTAGATGAACCTAATTCTTTTCAAAAATGTTTTCATTGAAAACCAGTATCCTGAGAGTTTTATTGCTAAAGCTATGAAACTGAAAGCAAATAATCATCCCACTTCTACGGCTCCTAAGAAGGCTCTTTCCATGAGCTTACAGTTCAACGGGGACACATCAACAGATATATTGAGAGGCCATCTTGAATGCTGATTGAGAAAAACTTTCCATGCTACCAAACTCAGTTTAGCTTTCTCCACTCACCCAATGCTTCGATTATGTGTAAAGGATAACCTAGCTCCCTTGGCCACCTTGATGCGTGTTTAACAAAACATCTGCTCCTGTGGAGTAAGATTTATACACCGTACTCAGAGTTCGCTTTCCTAACGCATTTCCGAGTATAGACCAGCCTGGTTTCGCAAAGGAGAAAGGAGGACACTTCACAGCTCTATTTTAGAACACCAAATCGATTATAATCACTCGGTAAATGCAGAAAACAACTTCAGAGTCATCTATAGAGTTCGTGTATATATCATGAAAGGTGTACACCTAAAACTTTTTTCAAACTGCGGAAGTTATGGCAATTAATACTTTCAAGCGTGAACTGTGCGTTCAAAAGAAATTTGTCCAGTCACTTGATTTGTAATAGGCATAACCTGTAAAAACACTTTCACATTCAATAGCCTTTTCATTTTAGATCTCACATATTACATCCCTTCACTCCTATAAGTATGATTTCTTTCTACATTCACAGTGTTACATAATCCAAGTTAGTAACTTGCTGAATCTCATTACTATTCCAAACGTTACGTAGTTCTTTTCTTTTTTCGATCTCCTGACTTTAAATCAAATGTGAACTTCGTTCAAAATATTTCATGAAACATTCCTTTTCTGTTACCCCTTGTGAACAGAATAGTTATATGCGATTGTACAGCTTGAGAATGATATCGTTGAAATGATTGACTCTTTGCCATATATCTTTTGTCTAATGATTTCATGGGGATCTTTAAACTACTTTTTATGTGAATGGTTCATCTTGAAATAATCAGATTATTGACCCAACAACTTGTACAGTATATAGTTGGACATATTTTCTCGTCATAAAATCATAATTTTAATTGCATAAATGTTAACAGATCCGCAAATTGACCCGACTATTATAATAAATGAATTAAAATGGTGTGAGACCGAAAACTATGACAGTCATTCATTTGATTTACGTGACAGTAGAAAATTCTACATTTGGATTGCAACCAGAAGTATGAATAACATATGAAGACATAGAAATTACTGGTTCGTAGATATTTCGCCACAGAAGTAGGTAGAAATAACTGACTAAAACAAGTCACTTTTGAGAGTTAACATCTGTGATAAGGATGACGTTGTTATTGAGAATCTTGAACACACACTTTACTGGAGTAGATACTGAAGATCGATTTAAACATTTCTTCTTCAAATCTATCTTCCAATAAAGTAAGGATATGATCCTCCAGTTAACAGAACGTTATCAACCTCTGATCTCTTTAACAGCTTACAGTCAAATTACTCAAATGTGAAGCTTAGGTATATCAAAAAACAGCATATTATGCTAAAAACTTGATCATCACTGTTACCAACTGACCTTAAAGTAGTAATGTTTGCTAATATACTCAAAGAAACTACACATTGCCAAGCAACTTGAAGCGAAGTGCTATAAGCAAACCATTAATTACTGGGAAATGATTAATAGCATATATCCTTATATGGCTTAGTCTTCAAAGTTTTTGACTATGCGCTATTGGCAAATCGAAGGTTAGATGTAGAATGCTTTTAAGGATGTCAAGAGAAAATGGTTGCCATAATGTATGATGGTGATGATAATTCCAAATACAATGAGGTTATTCAGATGTCTGTTAATCTCATTTTGAAGATGATAAGTATATTAATGTATAGATAAACTGTTATTATTATTATTAGTCCCTTGGGTTCCTAGTGGAACATAGGGCTTCACTAGCACGTCTCTAGTGAACTCTGTTCTCTGAAATCTTTTGAACCTGGCTCCACCACAGCCCACAAGCTCTCATTTCCTCCTCGCACGATCTCCTCCATGTCACCCTCGGAAGTCCAGCTCGTCGCTTCCCATGGGGATCCCACTCGAGCAACTGGCCTGACGCGTGATTTCCCCAGTCGGCCTCCAAAGTGTATGCCCAATCCAATCCATCTCCACTTCCTTCTGCACATTTGTTGGGTGATAGGTTCTTGGTTGGTTCGTTCCCAGAGCTTCTTGTTGCTGATTCTTTCTGGCCATCTGATCTTCAGTAGCGAGCGTAAGCAGTTGTTGATGAATGTCTGTAGTTTATTGGAAATCCCTTTCGTAACACGCCAAGTCTCTCAACCATACAGAAGCACTGACTTGACGTTGGTGTTGAAAATCCGGATATTGTTCACGCTTTATGCTGAGTGCAGAAGATCTCCACACTGGTTTCAGGCTGATGAACGCCTATCTTGCTTTTGCAATCCTGGCTGGCTTTGACATCCCTGTCTGTGCCACCTGTAGTTGAAACAGTGCTTCCTAGATAGGTGAAGGAGGTTACTCCCTTTAATTTTTTCCCGTTGATAGAGATTGGAGTTTGTTGTTGTTGGTGGTGCGGTATCTTCATCACTTCTGTCTTCTCTATATTCACTTGAAGTCCCGTCTTCGCTGCCTCACCTCTTCTGTCAACTTGTTAGTTTTCTTCTGTAGATCTTCAGGTTTGTGCGGCATCAGACACAAGTCATCGTGGCGAAATCCAAGTCTTCTAGGTTCTTTTCCGTAGTCCAGCCAGCGTGTCCCCCTCTTCTCGCTCCCCACTGTTCGTTGCATGATCCAGTCGACCACAATCAAGAATATCATGGGGGATAGATAGTAGGCAACCTTGTTTCACTCCTGTCTTCACTTCAAAAGCATCAATGAGCTTCCCATTGTGAATTACTTGGCTGGTATGTGGTGTCTTCATAT